TCCCCAGCCAGCATGGGGAATTCTGGAAGTTGAAGTCCACACATCTTAAAGTTGCTGAGGTCGAGAAATCCTGGGTAAGCCACTGAAGCTTGTTTGCTCTTTTTGGAAAATCTGTCCAGTTTCCTGGTTATTTATTTATTTAGCCATTGAGGAACTGTCTCTTTTATTTTCCATAATGAAGTATTGCAACTCCTTAACAACCTGGACACTGAGGCCAGTTCAGCTGCGGTACTACTTCTCCAAGAAAACTCACAGCAATCTAGGGAGAATACACACATGTTCTTGTTATGTGCCTGATGAACAAAACTGCTGCAATGTCTGAGCACCCTTGTCTAGATTTAGGGGTGCTTTTTTCCCCTTATGTACCAGCTTTCCACCTGGAGGCATTTTTATGAAGGCCTCCTATTTATCTTAGTATATTCTGTATAGCTTCTAATTGTTTTATAGAGTTTTCTCTTTGAACTGACTGAAATTTTCAGATGGGGTAAGCTGGGAAAGGTCTTTCAGATGGGGTGAAAGAAATATTGTTGAACATAGCATTTGCTTATTTCTTTGCCTTTGGGAGAAGAATAATTAGAAAATGTATTGCAGATCAAAATCAAATTTCAGTTCAACCAAATCAATTACCTTAATAGTGAAGTTAAAGGGTTGGATTTGATTCAGGTCTAGGTCCCCCTAAGCAATGAAACTCATTGTAAGACCTTGGACCAGTCATTGTTTCTCAGCTTATTTTGCAGAGTTGTTAGAATGGAGTGGAGGGGGAAAACTGTTTTCCCCCCTTCACTTATAGTAGGAAACTGGAAATATGATTGAGTTCAATATTGTGTGCGTGTATATACATGTATTATATGTAGCAAAAGTTATATCCTGCCCGTCTTGTATATACACATCATTTAGAGTGCCTAATGTTACTGTATGCTGCCTTCAATTTTTTGGGAGAACAAGGAAAATATAATTACAGGAAATAAGTTTGTACATATGTAAATAGCATCTAGCTACAAGTCTGTTCCTCGGCAACATTTGCATAGAATGCCAGAAGAATACTGCAGCTTAAGGTATCTCCTTAATCTTCCTCCTCTTGTAATAGTGGACATCATACATCGGTATTGTACGTATGATATCATACATTTATCGTCATCATCGTCTCTTTGCCAACCAGATTCCTGTAGCTCTGTGATGAACCAGTTCATAGACTGTTGTTGCAGTTGCCATAAATAGAAAATATAAGTCAATATCATTAGAAGGGGATAACAATAAAATATCAAGTGGGAGAGATATTAGTTTTGAGAACTTCATGAAACATATTATTGAGCATGCACACACACAGACATATATGTGTATGTATGTGTTAGGGGTGGGAAAGGACCCTGGTGAATTGTCACTGGGAGTTCTGTGGTTGTTCCACTTACCAAGAAGGTCCTCCTCTTTTTCCAGGTCACCTGATCTCATATGCAGATAGAGCTTCCAAGGGTGATTTGAAAGGCTGGGCAGGTTCATATGGAAGCAAGTGGCTTCTGAGATCCTTTGGATCCTAAACCCTTTAGTTAGGTCTTTAATGCTAGTATTTTAAATCAAGGCTGAGGAGAAGCAACAAATGAAGGTGAAATTAAATCAAAATTCCATACTGTAATTTTTGCTAGACAATACTCCAAAAAATTGGACCTTGTCATTCTTCTCTTGCTGCCTGTAGTATAAAAAATAAACCAAACCCTCAAGTGTTTCTCATAGTCTTAGGCCACCTGTATTCCTTCTGCCTCACCAGACCAAAAGCAGTACAGTAACCACACATGTAGCTGCTGTATATTTGGCAACCCTTCTGGTTCTTGCAGTTCCAGGCAGGTGGCAAACCAGGGTTCTGATGAGCTGCTGTGCATGGTAATGTTGGGTGTGTAACAAGTTGTATGGGCCAACTTTGATGTTTCAAGTAATGAAAAAAGAATCTGCAGGTGAAATGTGGGACCTGTGTAGAAAGGGACCAGTTCTGATTTCACAGAGGCCTACCTATCTCATAAATGGTTGGGTCAGCTGACCTTGAATAGAGAGGGCTGCTTGTTGAATAGGGCTGATTGTTTTCCTTATGTTTTACAAGTTCTGTGGGCATGGGAACATAAGAGTCTTGGTCAACCAGTTCAAAGGCTCACCTAGCCCTATCTTCCGTTCCCACAGTGGTCAGTTAAAGGCCTCCTAGAAGATCCCAGTAAAGCAGTGTTGTCCAAACTTGGCCACTTTAAGATGAGTGGACCAACTCCCAGAATTCCC